TGAAATTTCACAGTGTGAATCTTAGTTGATCATTCTACTCACTTGTGAAGTTTCATGATGCATTGACATCCATGGTATTCTTAGTGAAAAAAAATACAAATACGACCATACTATTCATTAAACAGTGTTTTTAATATAGCTTCGATTAGTTTCCATTTTGTCATTTTTGCTCAGATAACCACGGATGGATTTCTTCATGAAACTTCATATGCGAGTATACATGTTGATTATGTATATTAAACAAATAAATTCAGATTTTTTTATTCTTTCTAGCTTTTTTCAAATTTACTATTCATAAAGGGTGCGCGCACACCCATGTTCATCAAATCCGCGTCCCAAAAGCCGCATTATCTTTATTAAAATGAAGAGTTTGTGCACAATTGACGCAAAAAAGTCGAATAATGATTACTCGGTCACAGCGATTGTTGTGACCCAGCAATAATCGATCTGGTGGGGTTATATATATTACTACCTCACCCCGACGACTCCCTTCGCCCTCGCATTGCCTCCCCTCGGGCGGCGTCAGGGGCCCCTGACCCCGCGCTGGCAGCCCCTCCCTGCTCCTCCATCCCCAGCCGCCGCTACCGCCGGCAAGGGCCATGGTGGCGGCGGGTCCTGCATGATCCAGGGCGGGTGGTCGCCATGGCAGATCCGGTGAGACGGAGGCGGCGTTTCACGCGGGGAGGCCGGGGCGGCAGTCAGGGCGGCATCCTTGCTGCGCGGTGGCGATGGGAACCTACATCGCCAGCGGTGTGGCGGCCGCGAGCACATGGGTGGCTAAGATGGCTGCGGATCTGGCGTCCTGTCCAGATCCGTCTCGGTATGGCCTTGGCCGGCCAGTAGCGCGAGGAGGATCGGTGAGGGGCGGCTGGAGGCTCCCTACCGGCGTGCCGACGACGGCCTTCGTCTCCACGGCGAGGCTCCGTTCTGTTCCAGCTAGCTGCAAGGTTGGGGGACGCGACTTCCGATGAAATTCGCGCCGATTTCGGTCATGACGGACGATGGCAGCGTCTATGATGTCGTTCCCTTCTCGAGGCATCGTTGTTGCAGGTCGTAGCACCCCACTCGTGATGCACTGAGAAAAACCCTAGATCTGAATCTACCGGATCGAACGACGATGGTACCTTTGATGTCGTTGTCCCTCATGAGAGCATCGTTTTGGAGTAAGTGCTAGTTGGATGGGACACGGAAGAGCGGTGTCTCCTCCACCGCAAGGCCGGCGGCGGATCGTGGTGACATGGTGCTGCGGAGGTTCGACGACTGGCATGTGTGGACGGATTCATGTAGGATGGTGGAGTTGTCTGGCGTCGTGATGGCGTCGACAGCAGGCCAGGCAAGGTCGATGGGTCAATTGCTGCTCGGGAGATGGGTGGATGGAAGATGGCGGCGGCAGCCTCTGAGAGTGCGTCGGTTCGGTATGGGACCCAGTCCCGGTATGTGGCTGGGCTAGGGCATCCGGCTTTAGATGTTATGATTTGGTGCGATGTCCGTTTGGTATTTGACCCGGATATTCGGCACACCTTCATCAATGGGATAGGAGTAGCAACAGGTGTTGCCTAGATGGTGGCTTCAGACTCACTGATATTATTTTGTATTGCCTATGTGAATAATTAATAAAATGGTTGTATGCATAGTTCAGATGCAGAGGTCGGGGGTTTATCCTCTTTTTCCTAAAAAAATATATATTACTACCTCTGTAAACTTTAGTGACCTAAAAAAAACGTCTTCCATTTGTTAACGGAGGGAGTACTTACGTTGACTGTACGTTGGAATGTTCAAATCACGAGAAACTGAGAAGAAGGGCCTAGTGATTGATACAGGAGCCGAGTGAGGTGACTGCTAAGCTAAAGTCACAGTGGTTGAGCTGTTTGGCACGAGTCGTCTAGAGGGAAGCAGTGAGGTCGTACTGACATGGCATGATGGTAACCGATCAACTGCTCGAACAGGACCTATATGATCAACAATGAGATGGCACCTTCTTGTCATTGTTCTTTTCTCCAAAATGAGGGTTCCCCCTCCAGCCTCTAGCTCATCGATTGATGGAGATGGCCACGACCGCTCAATTAATTAGTTGTAATTAAGTTTCATAAGCAGAGAAATATTTGAACTTGCTACTTGATGGCGGCAGTCTCCGGTCTACCCCCATTGTTTGAGGAGCAAGATAGCCAGGGTGCGTGGGACCCTGGTCCTGCGGAGTCCAAGGTCAAAAAAGTCCATGAAACCGCGAGAACTGAGGGAATACATAGACTACAACCGCCTGCCCCCGGTCGGCCGCGTGCACCAGCTGCAGCACTAGCTAGCTGCTGGTTTCATTAGCTTAGGAAACGGGCAACTGCGTGCTCGGAGCGGTCTAAACACGTCGCCGTCGTCGTAGTTAATCTCAAGGTTTTGGTTTTTCTAGTGCTCCTATTCCTATACAGCTGCCCAGATGTGTACGCGGCATCGCGTCGAGCGTCGCGCTCTGTTGATTGGTGCGATCCTTCTCAGCGACTTATCTTATCTAGGCCCGGTGCAGTGCACCAGTGGCACACGTACGTGCACACGAGGTGGACTTGACAAAAAGCAATCGCACCTCCGATTTCTCACGACAGGAAAGGCGGCTAGGGTTTTCTCTGGTGGGTGACATGCCGCCGCCACCTTCCTCGGCTCCGGGTGTCTTCCGGCCAGTGGCAGTGAGGCTGGGGAATCCGGTTTGCTAGGGTTCAGTCTAGATGTTAATCGGTGGTTGCGACAGTGCGATGGTGTCATTCGTCGATGCCGCGGGATAATGTCTTTGTGTCATGTCCCCCTCTCGTTGGTACATTTCGGCATTGGCGGAGAATGTGAGCTTCGGTCTCGGCGAAGTCCAAGGCCTCATTTGCTGTCGGTTCGTAAAGGTGCTCTTCAACTGTGTGGACGATGACCAATCATGTTTTCGTCTGCTAGCTCCTTCTTCGTGCGTCGATTGAAGCACGGCTTCGCAGGGAAGCTAGTGAGGCAAGCTTGTCCAAAACTGGGATGATTGTCCAGCTTTCTTCGCTGCCTTCTTCTCTAGGACAACATTTTGGTCCTCAATTCGTTGTTTTGGTACCTTCTTACTCCGGTTGACGACTTCCCAATCGTAGTGTCAACAACGCTGGCCTAGCTTTGAGGGTGCTTCGGAGATCCAGAGGTGACATCAAATTTTGTTGAGGATGCACTACTGATAGCTGCATGAAGAAGAAAATGTTGATATACCCAAGGTATTGCATATCTTGTGCTCCCACACCTTAAGGTGAGGACTATCCAAGGTAACAAACCCAAGTGGGAGATTTCCACGAGCACAAGGGAGCCCTTTTATCCCATGGGGGTGATCCCCCTTTTCCTTTGGTTAATTGGCGCCCCATTCTCCCGTGAGGAAACAGATGA